AAAGAGAAAGAAATAAATGGGACAGAAAGAAGGTTGCTTGGCAATTGCCCATTGACCCCTAGGGAGACTTCCCTTTGGCTCAAAGGATTGGGTTTTCCATCCAGCTCTAGGATTTACTTGGTAGCTGGTGAAGCTTATGGGAATGGAAGCATGCAATACCTTTTAGATGACTTCCCAAACATCTTCTCACACTCCTCTCTCTCCACAGAAGAGGAGCTGAATCCCTTCAAGGATCATCAGAACATGTTGGCTGGTCTAGACTATCTTGTTGCACTTCAAAGTGATGTGTTTGTCTACACTTACGATGGGAATATGGCGAAGGCAGTTCAAGGTCATAGGCGATTTGAGGAGTTTAAGAAAACAATCAATCCAGACAAGTAATGTTCAAACCTAATCACTTCGAACTAAATCCAGCATGTCTGATTTAGGTTGTTTTTAGTTAATTTTTCATCGCTTGCATTCATTGCATCTAATTACTGGGAATGCTGTTGATGCAGGATGAATTTTGTGAAGCTTGTGGATGAGTTGGATGAAGGAAAAATATCTTGGAAGAAATTCAGTTCCAAAGTGCAAAAGCTTCACAAAGATCGAATTGGAGTTCCATATGCAAGGGAGCCGGGAGAGTTTCCAAAGCTGGAAGAAAGTTTCTATGCAAATCCCCTTCCTGGATGTATTTGTGAAACAGCACAAGAAAAATAGCCTCTGAATAGACGTACTTTCATATATTAATGTTGTGATGCGATCTCAATGGCTTGCAAAAAAGTGTGCTGCCATTATGCTTGGCATATTATCTTGATAGCAACCACCTTCATCCTCCAAATTGAGGGACGACTCAGTTAGTCAGCTGGAAAGTGCCCCTGCTCGTACAGTGTATAATCCTTGTGCAGGACGGAGCCAATGCAATGAGGTCCTAATTGTTGTATCTTGAATATACCAGTTACTGCAGATAGGTTTTCGATAATCTTCTACTTTTCTCAAAGAGACAACAAAATTTTAGACACTTGTAACCATTCTTTTTTATACAGAAATGTACTTGGTGGTTTGGATATGATTTAGTTAGGGTGGTTTTTTCGTATATTGTTAAGGGATTTGTTTTTGGACTAGATAGACAAGGTGAAATCCAAGAAGTTTGAACATGAAACCGATCATGGTTGGGATGCTGTTGGTTTTTGAATTTTGTTTATTTTTCTAGTTAGTTTAAAATTCTTTTCCTATTATAAATAGGTGTGTTGAGTTTCCATTTGGTTTAAGTGTTTCTGTTTTAAGAATGCTGGTTTAAGGTTTTATTTAAATAGCCTGAAGAAATTATTATTATTGATTTCACAATTTATCTAAAACTTAAAGTTTAGAGATTTTTTTTTTTATAGCTTCAGATGGTAACTCTGGTTTGAGAAACTATAATTTTATATTTTTGGTATATGTCTTGTTAATTAATATCAAAGTAAGCTTTCATGTCTCCTGGATGAACACAATCACAGTGCATGAGTGGAGGTCATAGGGTTAAAGAGAAACACAAAGAATCCAATCATAGAGGCTTGTTCTATTGTAATGGTTGTCAGCAGACATAACTGAGCAGCTGAATTAACTTTTGATAGGGATTTATGAACAAGAATCATGAAAGGGAA